CGATAGCAATTAATATCTTAAGTGCTTTGACAAAAAATCCATAAAAAAATGTCATCTGTGGAAGCCGTGGTGCTGTAAAAAGCACGACCAATCATTTTAGCCGGCCCGGCTAAAATAACTGGATGGCCTACCTGCCTTTCAGCCTTCCATATGTGCACAAACTTATCTCGTGCCCGCATTGGTCATGTGCGCGTTTGTGTGTGTTGGAGGAGGGGCTCTGTAAGGAAGTGGAAGAAGTGCATTTTCAAATTCGAGCGCACTCGAGCTGGTTTCTCCAAAATTACCTACCCCACCTTTAATTATAATTACTACTAAGAGAGAAAATAGGATAGCATAATCAATTATTGTAGTCTCATAGTCTGAACATCGGAGTCGGCTCGGTGAACAGAGGCTGATTTACTTAACGCACACAAACACATAAACTGGTTCTTTATAAATGAAACATTTATTAAAATATTATACTATACTATCTCGTTTTTTGAATATGTTCAACTTACTGTACTTCGACATGTTGCTTTTTGCATATTTTCATATATTCGTAAATATACAAAAAACACAATATATTATAATATGACGAAAATATGAAAGACATGACAGTATAGTTTTGTATGTCCTCAAAGTTGTAGGCATGTTGTGCATATCAAATATTACAATCTCTCCAAAAATCAACTACAATGTCAGGTTTTACTGCATAAAAGCCAAAGGGGTGAATACTTCCGCAAGGTATTGTATGGGAGCCTAATACAAATGTGAAGCCCAAACATCTTATATTGATCGTATAACTTTACACAGTAATTCAATCATGTCTCAGTATTAGAACATTGTGATGTTTCTCAAACTGTCTTTTTCATCATGATTTTATGAAATAATTGATTTAAGTTTACCTCCCTGTGCTTAATTAGCAAGGAAGATATACTGCCTTCCCTCTGATTCATGTTTTATTCCTCAATACATCATCTGCAGTGTGAGAAAACATTTATATATTTGATAAAACAAATGTATTTAAAGAGATCGTTGTTTGTGTTTCATTATCAGCTAGCCTTCTTTTTCATTTCCACATGCCATGAAAGTGCATATCCTTTATGTGATTGTACGTCAGCATGCATGGTGCTCCAACTGTTCCAGTCACGAGTCGCTCTTATAGCACTGCATGAACAATGACCAAATGCGTCATGAATTGGGGCTTTGTGAGAGAAACTACATGGGCCTGCTGTGATCCTGAACCGATAATATCATGTTCCTCCCCTTCCGTTTATTAAGCTAATTCCTTTAACCCCCGTGACTAAACAGATACACAACATGAATAACGTTGGTTTTATAATTTTTTTATTCTCAGTTTAGTGGCTGGTCATGTTTAATTACACATACAGTAATGAAGAGGACCTTTACATTCATCCACAGGATCCATTCAGACACAACACTACATAGCACTCACGAGGCTCAAGCACACACACAGTGGGAGAGATGCTTTACAAGACATATGGACAATGGATGTTTTGAACAGCACAAGTGGTAGTGCCGAGCTTTTATTTCTGAGAAAACTTGCAACTTACACATTCCCAAAAAACACTTTATATTGTGTCAATCCAAAATTAGTTACAGAGCACCTTTTTGAAATGGTGTTCTTTTATTTTACACAGGAAGGCAACACAGCACATTTTGTTGGTAGTCAGGAGGACAGGCACAAGGGTTTTTGTTGATTTAATTTACAGTTTGAGTGTCAGAAAAAAACAGCGACAACAAAGGAGAGACTAGACGACACTAAAGCTCAAATAAAAGGTTCTGATTCTGACATCTAGCAACAACATCACCTTTCAGAATAAGAGTCTGGCTAGGTGGACATGACATTTTGGTTATACATGAAGAGGACAGCTAGTGTATTATTATCTCATGGACTGAAAAAGAAATACATTAGAAATGACTAGTTTTTAACATTTAACCAAAGGCAATCTTAGGCCCTAAAGACAAACATAGATCGACATCACATTTAAGACAGGACATTTAACTACAGCTAAGACACAATGGTTTGAATGAAAACACATGGCTCTCCATAAGAATTGATTAATCAGTTCGGGTTCACAAAAAAGGTTTGAGGGAATGACAAAGACAGTGTGACGAGACATAAAACCGCTCTCAAAAAAATAAAACACCCCAGACTTTTCGACAATCAGAAAGCGGCAATAACGGTCAAGTCAGTCGGACTTGCACCGGCCATAATCCTTCAACTGGTCTGGGTTTGCTTCAGTTTATCCACCTTATTTGTTAAAGAAACCATACAAGACGTCCACAATAAACTCAAGCACAAGTATAGAGAGCCATTGCAGATGTGGGGAGGGTCATTCTGGCTGCACATGTGAGCAGGGTCAGCAAAAAGTTCACGCTAAGGATGATGACTTCACAGACTCAGCACAACGCATGCAGGGGGGGGGGCAACAGATTGTGTCGCTATCTACCAGCCAAAATGGGAAGGGGAACATGAGATGAGGGGGTTAGCGAATGTTAGAGTGTTATCAGAGGTGGAGGAGAAGGTGAGTTTATGGTGTGACAAGATTTCCTCCTTTTCTTCCTCTTTTTCCCCTCTTTAGTGCCGTGATCTTGAACGTGCCATGCTGCTGTTGGAAGGGGTCCTAGAGGGGGGCTTCAGCGTTTTACTGGAGAAGCACTCCTGCTTCCCTGTTGACACACAAGATATATTTAATTAATATGTGGAAATGAAAGACCACGGCATTTAAGGACCACTCTGTTTTTTTTTAAAAAGGGTTACCAACATGTTTGTATGCTCTCATGTTTGTAAAAAAGATGATGTTTCTAATACTGTCTGCTTTAATATGTATTCATCCTTCGTCTGAAATGCAAACTCATTTTATCTTAAAAAGTAACTTTTTATTTAGTTTCTTTCATTATTATGACATCAAGCTTCATAATGTTGTCTTATGAAATCATAATTGTGATTTGAAACTTCTAACTTTGTTAGCATTTCGATGCTTACATCGTTGTTTTTTCTTGACAGAAATGTTGCTCATAGGGGAGCTTTATTTTCTATGTAAAGAAAAATGGTCCCTAATTGATATGAATTCAATGTTATACATGTTTGCCCAAAGTAAAGAGAAGAACATAATTTGAAAGTTGGCGAGGAAACTCAGTCCATTTCCAATCTGTTGCAACAGATTGTGACTATATTGTACTTTTTCCACCCCTCACTTATTCACATTGAAAAGTGGCATATCTTGATGGATTGCTTCAGGAATATGAGCCATATTGTGAGAAATGACTCATCCCTTTTTAGAAAACAAAGGCTTGAGACTGAGCCTTTGTTCTAAACTGTTCTATCAGCCATTTCAGATGAAATTCCTAATCTGTCATGAACGACAAAACTCAATATACAGCAACATCTGAATAGGAAAGCTGAAAAATGGGAAGAAACAAAGCATGAAACATTATTTAAAAGTTAACATGGATTTATGCTCACTTCCATTTGGACTGTATAGCCCTGTTATGTTTGGTAGACACGGATAGAGTGATAGGGTGATGGCACCGTTTCAATGCTACTTAGCAGTATCAGAAAGACTTGAAAATAACATCCCAGAGGTTCATCCTCCCCAGAGTTTAGTGACAACAACTTACCCACTACAGAGGAGGATGCAACTCGTGGGAAATTAGAATTTCTTATTCAGCATCAGTAATTGCTAAACTAAGTAATCTAAGGTACATTGAGAGGCAGGCTAATTAAAACGGGCAGAGCATAAAATGCAACACTCTTTTTCATGACATAGAAAACAAATCAACTAAGAAGAGGAAAGTCAAGAAGTTGTGAAAACTGCAGTCTGAAGTAAGTGCTGATGAGTGTGTGAGGAGGATGCTAAACGGTATCAGATTAAACTTTCTGAGTGGGAGTTTGAACACCTCATTACACTGAGTCATACAGTACCGCCTCTGCTCTGAGTAGGTTTGACCTTCAATGTTTGGAGGCTTTTTTGTCCAGCAAAATTGTTTTTTGCGAGAGTGAGAGGTACTTCCGTAAACTGCAAAAAAAATATGTGTACTTCACTTTTTTGTCCCAAACCTCAATGATTCCAGGGTTTATTTTTCACACACAAGTATGCTTTAAACAGGGAACCCATTATTTCAACACCGCTACAGCTGATGGATGCTAGCCAGTTTACATTGACTCTCTTATGGTGACATTTGCATGCTAGCGAACATTATGTAAGCTAGCATTAGCATACAAAATGACATTAACATATATGTAAAATATCAGAATTCCCAAAGACGTGACGATACAGCATTTATAAGTGCAAAATGGCACACTTTTGGCACAGTTGTTGTCAATGAATATAAGAAAGTATTCACATTTTTGTCAAGGTAACAGTTAGCAAATATAAGTTAAACTTCGGTAAATGGTTATGGATGCTTGAAACATGCAATAATATAGCTGTGATTCTATTTAAGCTCCTTATAGGTTGCCTATTTACATTTTGAACATCGATAAAGACCTATTGTTTGACGTCTTGTCTCTGAACACACGACAAAGGTAGCATTCATTCTACTTTTGGCTCTGTTTTAGCCTCCACCAACTCGGAAAATGGTTGTACCCATTAAATTATTCAGAATGAATGCTGGGCAGGTAGCAAGTGAAGTTATCAGAGCTGTTGTTGAAAAAAAAGCCTATGCTAAGTGTATACTACTGCTCCAGAAAGATGCTAAAATGCTAGGTAGCACTAAAAGGAAATGCAGAGTTGGGAGTGATACTCTATGCGTATGTCACCATAAGCCTCAAGTTTCACAATAGACAAAGTAATTGTAGGCAATGATATTTTGAAAGTATTGATTACACAGGCTTTAAATGCAATATGTAGTGTGTAACACATAAATCAGTACCAGGATATTATTAAGTATTAACATATTGTATTTAGATATTATTAATAGATATGATGCTGCTCTGGATGATATGGATTGATGGCATTGTTATGTGTGCCTGATGACAAGTTGTATATTCTGCCAGCATTTGTGTGAGTTCTCCAAAGCAATCCTAGAAGTCAGTCATGCTTGATAAGTTATTGGTGATATTGCATAATAATTTTATATTATATAACGCTCAACCATTCCCCCAACCCCCCCTGTAAAGCAGATGAAGAATGTTAGCCAAAGCCCCATCGGACAATCATCACAGCTGGATCTAACATCTTCGGCTTGATTATATCAGAGCGGGCACAACGCTTGAAGCGTGCACAATAATCAATCTCGTCTCTAAAAGCCTCTTATTATTCTGCTGCTGCCGCCGCTGCTGCAAGAGTAATGAGATTAGGATGTCTTCTCAGCATATCAATGTTGAACAAAAGCGGAGTGAGTTAAGCTCAAGTATCCCTCCATGAGCAAGAAGTTACTCACTCTGCTGCTGATATCATCACTGAGGCAGAAGGAAGAAAGAGGGGCAAGAAAGTGATTAGGGAAATACAACTTGTTCTATTTGATTTGAGTTCCAGAAGAGAGAAGTAGAGTAAAGAAACCAGTGGGAATTAAAAGTGTTTGACATGCATTTCTTTTACCATTTTGAAGATCCTAGTCAGGGTGCCTTTGCCGTCCCCTGCACTGGCCTTCTTGGCTTTAGCAGACTGTGACTTCTGGTCGCCCTGCCAGAGGGAGAGAAGGAAGCAGTGTGTCAAAGGAGTCTTAGAGATGTTCAGCAGGGGATTAACATGGGACTGACCTTTCTACAGAGATCCCCAGATTCTCATTATAGAGAGCAAGGAGACATGAGAAGATCAAATATCAGACCTCTTACTCCAGGGTGTACTTGGGAGTGACAGAGCGGCAGGCTTGACAGAAACCCAGAATATTGGAGGAAATCAGCTATTGGTTGCGGTGCAATCCAATTTGCCACACTTTTACAGTATATTTTTGTTACATATCTGGCATCTTTTTACTCAAGGTTTTTGAGTGAATAATGCAGGAGTTGGATATTCATGGAACTTCTTATCTGGGCCACCAATGCACACATTAATAAAACTGAAATGCAAAGACAGAGCTGTTGTCTTTTGGGAATGCCAAATTGCATTTATATGAACTAAGGCGCACTTAAAAGTTACCAAAAGAAAAAGATATACAGATTTTTATTTTTTACATTTTGTCCTGCCCAAATCATTTCCACACAGTCTCTAGGAGAGTCTCTTTTTCTGAGCATAATCACACTTGCACACACATGCATGAGGGCCCTAAATGAAGAGCTGATAACGTCGCCTAATGAAGCACAAGGCAGCCTCACTTTAGTCAGCCACAGAGGATTTTAAAAAATAAAACTAGGCTAATTAAGAGCCGGACAATGCCTGTTTTATCAGAACATATACAATACAAGCACATGATATGATAAGTCAGGCTGCAAAGCTACAAAATGGGTATGGTTTATTTGGAAATGGACTGAAGTCGGAAGGAAATGAGGTCGTTATCGCTGATGTATGGACTGATTACAGCGGCTGAAGTGCTTGATGGAGACTAAATGAGAATAGAGGCACAGGCGTTACACTCGAAGGCTGTTGTTCGAGGGTGACCTCACTTGCCCCCTGGGTTTAATTAGGCATGATATGTGTTTCTTTTTAAAACACCTACCAGGCCCATCTTGGCAACTAGTCCTCTCCACTGGATGTGAAGCAAGAGACAAGAACAAAAGGTAAAAGGGAGAGGAGACAAATAGAAATGAGTGTCTTACTCAGCGCAAAGACAGGATGGGATGGAGAGGAGAGTCCATCCAGGGGGGGGGGGGAGGTCACAGGGTCACAGGGGGGCAGGAGCAGATGAGGAACAAAGGGAATGATGAGGGGGGGAGGAGAGAGGAGCGAGGCTCACATTGAAAAGAGCACACATTTAGTGACATTCTGCAGACGTAGCACATAAATAATTGATTTAATACCAGTCAAAAGTTTTAAATGCATTGTGTTCAAACATTCGGGTTAAATGTTTGAATTTGAATGGTATTTGCATTCGTCAAACTTTATCCAAATGGGTTATTTTGTTTGCACATTTACAGTAAATGGGTTTCAAATAAAAAGTCTCATTACTTAATAATATACTCAAATCACAGTTACTGTCCTAGACCTGCAATATGATAATAATCAGACTTTTAGTCCTATATCCAAACATAATTTAGCATGGAATAGGATATGTTGCTGTTCAAAGGAATTAAGGAGTTTCAGTGCTATAAATGCTTAATTATATAAGGTTTATAAAAAATAAATAACATAAAAATGTAGACATTTTAACTTTCTATAACACAAAATCCTAGAATTTCAGATTACACTTAAACTAAAATCCTTGACTTTTGTTCCTTTACACACTTAATGATATTATATATATAAGAGAACATTTGGACTTCAATAGTAGCAACATGAAGCAGACTCACCCTAGACTTGGGAGGGGCAGGGGACACCTGGGAGGAGTTAACCACAGGGAGGAAAGAGATTTGACAGAGTTTGACATAGATCAGAGAAAGTGAAGAAACAAACATGGAGGGAGCAAAGGAGAGACTGGGGTGGGTAGAGACACTGCAGATGTAGACTCCTCCTGTGAAAGCTATAGTGTATTATGTCATTACTTACGATCGTGCGGAAGAAGCTGACCACAGCGTTCTCTGGTCCGCGCTTACGTGGGGCGGCGGCGGCTTTCTGAGGGGCTGGAGAGAGGGCTCCTCGGAAAGATCCCTGGGAAGGGGGAGGGAAAGAAACAACAGCCCATACGTGTTAATGCTAATATTAGCTTAAGATAGCATCTGAATTCTTTAGAAATGAGTTTTTCCGCTTGTAAGAATAAATGCATCAAATACAGAAACGTGTGAAGGTCATCCTGTTGCTTGTCTAACTTACCTGTTCAAAGATAGACTTGTTGACAATAAAATACAGTACAAAATGGTTTGAAAATTGTAGCTGGGTCACTTACCTGGAATATTAATAATCAGAGTTGAGTTGAATAATGAATCTGTAGCTTGTGCAACAGCTTCATAGTTATATTTAATTAATTTGGCCTACTATCACTCATGAAAGTTGATGCCAGTGTTGGCACAGAAAAACATTTATTTGCCAACATTTCAGAACGTTCTCCCCCCTATAAACTCTGCAGAGTCAGTAGTGGCTGCTCAGGTGCAGAATTTCTTTTGAAAATGCACTTATTTTCAGTCTGACTACTCTGTGGAAAGTCTGCTGATAACTTCCATCTCAGATTTGTATTGAATTGGAAGCATTAACAGTAGCCTCACGTCCCAGGCCACTCACATTTCACTCATCCCTAACAGATAAAAACCTTTGGCCACGATTCGTTAAAAACTAATTAAAATTCTACAAATGAGCAGTTGAGTTCTTGACAATGAACAAGTCAATGCAGTTCATCAAAGAAAGACTTGACAAAGTGTGTGAGTGTTTCAAAAGGTAATTATCCTAAAAAAAATTTGCCTAGAAGTACAATATTATTCAAATTATTCAATTAAAAAACCAATGCAAACCCTTTTCAAATTAAAGAAGCTAGCTAGAAGCTAGAGATCCTGACTGACTTATTATTGTAATGCAAAAGCCATAGATACAGGATATATATATATATAGCCTATATACATATTTCTTAACAGCATTATTAATTGCTGTCCGGATGTAAAAAGTATTTTAGCAAATACAACAAAATTAATTCTAAAACACATCACCCACCCCAGAATCCCTTATTAACTTACTTTAGCACTGACATTAAAAAGGTGAAAAGTGTAATTATTTTAATACTGCAACCTCAACCTGCAGCCCATGAGAACATTGTAATTTCCACCCACTTAGTATGTTTATTCTTTTTAGATAATGTTACCTCATTCATCCCTTTCTCTAACCCTGTTAATGTAACAGGAAATGGTTTGTGGGACGGAGGTGGGGGGGGGGGGAACCTTAAGCTTACTAAAAACGGGAAATGTACCCAATATGATAGATATGGTGTTGTCACCTTTACTGTCTTTTATAGGTTTTGTGAAAATGGACCACCGTGTAGGAGACAGAGGAAAAGATACCCTTTGTATTTGACGTCATTTTGTGCATTTCAGCTATACGACTACCACTGTGCGTCAACAGTGACCCTGTGATGTCCCGTTGAATAGGTGCGTGTCTCTGCGTGTGTTCTTGAATCTGTCATGATGTAAGTGATGGGAAACGGAGGCAGAAATGAGAGGGAGGGGAGAAAATAGAGCAGCCTTTGTGGTCGCTGTCGTGCTTTTGTTTGGGAAAAGGACATGAGAAAAGGAAAAGGTTTAGATCAAATAACGCTGGATGAATTCTGCTGGTACTGACTCAATTACCGCCAGTTGTCCCTTTGATGTGAGTGAGTCCCTCTGTATTTTTTCTCTTCTCATGTCGTGTTAAAAAAAGCTTCCTCTATCTTTATATTTTCCATTTAAAAAAAAAGAGAGCTATCTCTTGTGTAACTGAACTCATGAGGTTATTTCCTGTGTCCTAATGCAAATGCCGTTTCCATTAGCTCCTGGAATTCTGTAAATGATGATTTTCAAATCTTGAGCAGTGACACAGAGGCTTCTTCCAAGCCTGAGCTGATTATCAAAAGTTTCTGTCGGTAAAGAAAAAGTTGTTGAGCTCTTTAACTTCCTCTCAAACTCCCACTGCAGGGTCTTTAAAAAACCGGAGGATCTCAATCAATGATCTTAGTTTGATGTCTGAGTTCAGATACAGTGTGTGTGTGTGCGGGTGTGTGTGTGTGTGTGTGTGTGTGTGTGTGTGTGTGTGTGTGTGTGTGTGTGTGTGTGTGTGTGTGTGTGTGTGTGTGTGTGTGAGTATTGTGACTCCTTTGCTTTGGAGTTTTCTATTTGGTACCATTTCTGTTTTTCTTTAATCATGGCTACAACCATTGTCGAGCATTATAACAAGATATTGGAGAAGAAACATTGCTGATGAATTAGAGCTTGTGTATTTTATGGAAATACACTTGTTTTGATGAAGTTAAACTAGGAGAAGGAGAACTTAGCTTAAAATGAAGACAGAGCACCAAGGTAAAACAAATCTAACAGTATTACCCATGCTAGTGTCTTTGTAACGCTGTACTTGAGCAAAACGGTGCTTTAAGCTACATATGCTAACGCTAGCATAGCAACATGCTTAAAATGTGTCTAAATGTTTAGGTTTAAATTAGCACTAAGCACACGCTAAATCTGAGTCAGTTTTGCTGGTATGTTGTCATAAAACAACACAGAAAACTAGGCAAATTAAAGTGTGTCCATGAATATTTGTATACAAATCCATCCGAATGCCTCCATTTGTTGTAGAGATATGTTAGTCTGAATCAAGAAGTTCCAACTGATGAATATTGCTATCACTAAAGCCATAAAGTTCACAGAATAATATTACAAGTTTTAATTAATCTAAAAGACATTTATCAGTGACAGGCTGGCGGTTTTCCCTGGTTCCAGACTTAATGCTAAACTAACCTAAACATCTCTGGTCTCCAGCTTCGAAATGATCGCATAAGCAATAAAGAAGTATCCAGGGTCTGATCTTAGAAATATAACTAATAAGTGTGTTTCCTAAAATTCCTTTAATTATTATGATATCTCAAATGCTTAAGCTCTCACATGTTTCTTCAAGTGACATGGTTGGGTGAAATAAGGGAAAGTGAGAAATCCTGATTCAGAGCACAGGAAGAGCTGCACATTATTCATGGGCTGGGGCTCATCCCAAAGGACTGGTTAATGATCACAACTGTCTCCTCTGAGGTTAGAGGTCACAGCCTGGCCAGGGATCTGCGTTATTATGGATGATGTTTAATAATTCATCCTCAGAGGACAAGGCTGAAGATCATTTCTCTCAAGATATTTACAAAATAGTCCTAACCAGCGTCAATAGGAGACTGGGAAGATTTGCGATGAGATTTTGTAGCTAAACACTAGAAATCTGCACCCTGTAGCACTGAAAGAGAAAAGGTTTCTGAAATTCTGGAAATGTCAATACACAAACAGCTGCAGCTCGCTGTTCCCCTCCGAATCAGGTCCTGAGTCTTGAAAGATTAAAAAGGAGGCTGATAGAGCCATAATTGTGAGGAATATTGTGGGGAAAAAAATACATTTTCTTAGGGAGCGTCAAAAAATTATGGAAGAGCGGCGTTTAGGGAAGGGGAGGATTATATTATATTTTGGTAAAGGGAAAGTAGTATGGCAATTGCTAATTCCACTTATATTAGAACAAACAAATATAACGTTTATATTGTACTATTTTGTTGTGCTTCTATCGTGGTAGCTGAACTCTTTATTTTGAAGGATTTGTTGGGAGTCCATTTTTTTTTCAAGTCAAGGAGAAGTTCCAAACATATATAATAATGTCCTATTATATTGCTCAGCCAACCTCCCTGAAAAAACTTTCGTCAAGTCCTTTAAAGCCTAATTACATCTTGTTTGCTTTGCAGCACATAACCCAATTTAAAAATGAAATACTTGAGCAATATTTGTGCGTACATTTCTTTAACTCTGAGGCTATATCCACAAAGTTTCTTTCATGTATGACTGATAAGGCAGGCCTGGTTTTAATATTCAGGGTTAATCATTTGCAGCCTGTTTTTTTACATCAAATACAATTGTATCCCAGGCTGTTTTTCATTTTGCGACTATTTTCTTTGCCGGGCTGACTTTGTTCTGGGCTCATCTGACCAAGATGCATAAACACATTGTTTATGCTTAAATAGAAATAAAAATAAGCCTGTATCGACTGAACTTCTGATGTTTTTGCTTTTGTAATCCAATTGAACATGCTGCTGCTTTTTCAATTCACATACTCCAGGAAACAAGAACATTGGTCTTGTGGCGATTACAATGCCCTGCCCTCATAGTGGGCAAACTGTGAGTGAAAAGAGTAAAGTTAATTTATTTTTCTCTTCTTACCTTTTCACAGGCTCTCACAAACAAGTTCAGCCAGTCATACAGTACATTAGATTTAATTCTTTAGAGCACAACCATAGTACTGAATATTAACAGTAACTCTGCTTTCCTTTAAACCTTGTTTTCAAGTACGTATGACATAGACTGTACTCTGGGATATATAGATTGGTTATATAGTCTATAACCTTAACGGGTGGATAAACCCATTTGTTGAAAAAATGTGTTTTACATTCTTGGTCACTTTTCAAAGTTCAAATAAACCAGTGGCTGGCTGTAACCAGTTGTTAGCAAAGCAGTATAAAAACACATCATACGTTGAGAAATATAACTAGTGTGTTGTTTTTAGACACAAAATAACTTGTTTAATAAAAAGATCCTGGTTAGGGCTAAATTGAGTATGTAGGCTAAGTGACATAGCTATGTACCGAGAGTATGTTGTAACATGGTGATGTAGTAGCTACGCAACGTTAGTAGTAATGTTGTTACGTACGTCATTTAAACTGACAATGTTTGTTTCAAACTAGATATGAACACTGGTCTCGTGGGTGATGTTCTGTGTTTCTTTTTTTACCCAAAATGCTTTGTGGACTTCCCCACTCTGTAGAAAACTGACTTCCTCCTTTGCTTCGGCCATAATTACTGTGGCCACTAAAGGTCGCTCTCTAACAACAAACGTCAATATGGTTAGCTTTTTAATTCAGCCGATTGCATTTACGCTTCAAAAATCTTAAAATCTGTGTTAATATGTGGAGATTATTTCGCTGGACATAACATGTAAGTATCATAAACTATTGTTTTCCTAATCTTATTTTCTGCACTATTCCAAAGTCCAGGGAACCCTGACGATGCTAACATCTGGGTTTTCCTACAAACAATTCATCATCACTGCAGCACTCTATTAGCTACTTTTTTGGAAAAGACAATCTTGTTAAAACAATATATTTCACTTCAACAAACAGAAAAAGAACCAAAAGAGACATGGAGCATGAAAACAAAAACAAAGAGAGCCCTGAGGGTTGTTGTTAAAGAGTTTTAATCAAGCAGTAATCCAAAAAGCTTTAAAACAGGGTTGGGTTAGGAACAGGTCGCCGGTCACAACAGTTCACAACAGATACAAACACTGCAAAGTTGAAGGCGTTATAAAACAGGGATCAGCACAGATCCACTGCTGGTTCAGACCAACTCTCTGACAGGTCGGGACACGTGAACCTGAGGGGTGAGCAAACTGATGTGAGGGGAAGAGGGGGGTGCTAACTCCCCCTCTGCATCCAAGACACTGGGGGTAGAGGACAGCATCACAAGACGTTTCACTGTGAGCTGAAGCCTGATCTGTACACGGTAATGCTGCACTGCATTCTAAACTCAATGAATAATAATAAAACAAATGTTCTGTTCTTTATGAGTCTACATTTCTGCTAGAATAGCTGATGCAAAGTTAATTTCCCTCTAATTAGTACATCATCATCCCAGTAATTTGAAATAATCAACTTCAGAAAGCATTCAAATGCCGATTTGTTTTTGGGAGTTGTTTCATGTCCTGAGACTGGGGTGTTGGCGTCATCACAACTATTTATGAAACACCTCGTGCTGACGTATCAGCATTTTCTCAAAGCCCTGATTGGGGCTTGGATTAAAGTAAAATCTGACAAAAGGACATGAATAGCAGAAGGGATCCGTTTGAAAATGTCTCCACAAGTGCCTCAGCTGAAAACAACTCAGCCTTACGCAGATACACGCATATTGAAAAGAAAACACTGGTGCAATCTTCTCCAAAACCACTGCCGCAAAGTTTACGTTAAAAGGAGATTCTGTGCGCACTGGCAGATCAGAAACAAAGCTTTGAAAATATCTTCATGATGTTCTCTTGCTGGAAAAATAAGCATTTGCAGCAGAAAGATAGCGCAGCTTGATCTTTTGCTAGAGGCAACGGAGGTGGGGCGAACCTGTCTGTTATGAACACTCATCATTTGAAGGCAAACCCTTGGTGAATATACATAAATATATATATTTGTGAAACTTTGTTTTAGCAAACCTGTCATCAATATACAGAGCAATGTACAATTTTATGGCATAAAGAATAAGAAAAATCAAACAAATACTGCGGTAAATTGTTCACTAGCCTAACGTTGAATGAAAGCTTCATAATTTCTTCTGTTGACATTATTCCCTGAACATTTCACGAGTAACATTTTCCAAAAGCAAAACAAACGTCTGATCAGCAGAAAGATTTGTAGCATACAGTATATATAAAATGTGTTTTTGATCCTGAATCCTACACTGGACACCTTTTCATAGCGGACATAAGGCGAGGGGAGATGCATATGTCATGCTGCTGCAGTGATTTATTTGTAATTACGTTGCTAAACCTGCTGATAAGAGTTCTACAGGGTTTGAACAGCGGGACAGAACAAAAAAAGCTCAAAAATTGAGGGGGACATATTTGTTGTCCTTCAGGATTTAGTGAGCTGTAGGGAAACTCTCCATGTTTTAAATCAGAATGAGCAGAAAGTTGATATTGAAAAGAGAAAATGTTCCCTTTCAGCTTGTTGTGGGTTTTGGGATTTGGCTTCAGTGTGTTGTCAGTAGTGATCAACCAAAATATCCACATTTGGTGCTGAAGCTTCAAATCCATTTCCTTGCAGTGTGCCCAAACTGGTGCCAGGAGCACTAATGGAACTAAACTGACACTCCAACTAAACCGGATCATTGTGGTGTTTGGATTTACTTTGGGTCAAAATGCCTGTTTACCAAAGAAACAAACAAAGCCATGCAGGTACAAGTCATTCTAAAGCGATAATTCTGTATTATCACTTACCCGCAATATACCACAAGCCTGTTCTTACTTTATAAAATGCAGGCTCTTGTATATATTCCCAAGCAGGGGATGATAATATGCTCCTACTCTATTATATATATTTGATGATAATATACATCGTATATCTCTTTGATCATTTATAGCATAATGTGATCTGTTTACTTAGCGGCTTGCTGTACCGTGCAAACAGGAGAAGTCCCTCCCTGATCACAGATCTGTAAAAGTACCACGGAGACAGAGACATCAAAGAAGCATTATGTACTCTGCTGAGTAAAAAACATCTAAAATAATGTCGGCTATTACATCTAAATGATACAGGCCCGTCTCTTACAACATCATCATTACGGAAAGTACCTAGAAACACGGCTGTTCTTCACTCCAGTTTGACGTCCTCACAAACAAACAGCAAGCAATTCCACCAAATCACGTACACAACAGATATATTAAATTTAACCGAAGAGAAGAAATGCTACCAATGTCAGTACCATTCAAATGAAAGACAATACACATAATAATATAGAAATGTATCCTTAAATGATTCATTAAGAAATAAAACCAACCCCACCCAAAGTCGCTATCCAGTGTCGACTTAAGCCAAAGTGAATCATAGGACCAAGTCAGACTTTGGTTCACCATAAAAAAACAACGGTAAAATCAACTATATGACACTCTATGTTGCGATGAATTCTGACAGGATCTGGTAAAAGAATAAGAAGTAAAAAGTTTACACGAGAAGGGCTCGAGTTTTCATCTCGCCTTTCCCTGCTTCCTCACCTTGCTCTTCCTCTTCTTGTCCCCTCCGAAGAAGGTTCCGATCTGATCCATGAGTCCGGGGGCCTTCTTCTTCTGGCTTGCGGATGCCATGTTATGTTTGTAGTAGTGGTCGGTATGTGTCAAAAAGTAGGGTTCGTGTTGCTCTCTTAAATGAGAGAGTGAAAAAATAGAGGCGGGAGAAGAGAGAAAAAACAGAGGGAGGGAGGGAACAAAAAGTAGCTAGCCTAGTCTAAGTCCTGTTCGGGGTAGTCTGAGCCGCACTCTGAAGCTCCGCTGTGTTCCTGGATGGTCTGTAGCTCGTCCGATTCAGAGGGTCGCTCTTTGAAGGTGTTATCCTCTCGGCCCGGGGCATCTCGGGAGAAGAGGCGGGCCAGGTGGGGGCGGGGCGTGGCGGCGTCAGGGTCAGCTGTGCTGGCGTCGGGCCAGGGCTGGGGGGGGCCCTCAGCACCCGTGGAGTCAGTCACCGCCGGCTTCTCCGAGACGCAGCCATTGTTCTGGTCCGCATCTGCCTCACCCAGGCCTGCGCAGAAACAACAAGGGTCAACTATGGGCTCACACAACAAGCAGCAGCAGCAGCAGCAGCAGCACAATGGGCTCTTTTCACCAGAGCCTGCCCTTCCTGCTGAACCACAGACCAATTACAGTTCACTTATTAACTTGGAATATTTTACCTGACCAACAGGAAATTGTATAATTGTAGATCAGAGCAACTATAAAGGGTTAATTTGATTCCCAAGCAACGTTTTGACTTTGGGTCAAAACAATGTAAGCAGGTGTTCCCAGGTTCATTAGAGAGCTTGCACAAAGCCTTTCCGGATGTATGACAGCAAAACAGTTTAAAAGTGGGTTCATACAATTTTAACAATTAACCATCATCTTTCCAACATATTTAAAAGAAAAAACTACAGAATGGGTTCCTCAAGAGTAAACTATTGTTTACAATCAACCGTCATAGCAAAACTTAATTTTTTCTTCTCAGGTTTTTTAAGTTGTTCAATTAATGTCTGGAAGAAAATGGCATATTATTCAGATTTTGGGAAACGTATAGCTTATTTGCAAAATGTGTAAAAAGAAAGAGTTACAGCGTACCCCTACCCCCCTGAGAGTGTGTGACTTTAAATTAGGACCCGTGGCAAACATGAGCACATAAAAGGTTCCATGTATTTAAACACCATAGGTTGAATAACTTTTGTCTAGGTTCCCTAATAAGTTGATATTATTAAAAAGCACTTTTTCAAACAATTATATGAAGTCATAAGGAGGTAATTGGATGTCAATGTCATTACAAATGGAAAAGATAGAATAAAGAACCTTTGAGATATGACAACAAAAGTACGTTTGCAGGATTAAGTTTAAAAATAATGGAATCTCCGTGAAATGCTTCACCACCTTGCTACAGAGTGAACCCTGCGTAGCGCATTAGCTCTTATCTCCCTGCATTATCATGGCTCATTTCTCACTTCGCCCATAAAAAAGCAATGTTCCTATCAGTTCCAGCGGGATGGAAATACAGCTGCTTCTCTAATGTCCACTTTGACAGCTATCCATTAAGTTAGCCCCGCTCCCACAGCGGAGGACATCCAGTGCATTCCTGCCTCCGAAAACAATATCCACCCTGTACTGGCAGAAATGGTGTAGCACTGCACCAGAGAATCTGCATGCTAATAATGGCCCGCACAGAGGCCTGTTGTGGGAGCTGCATAGTTATTACAGAGGAACAATGGGCCCAGTGTCACTAAAATAACTCCTATAAGTATGGATTTTCAGCCCAATGCACGTTCACACTTATCTGATTCTGGACCGAGAGCTGCACGGTCGCTGTCTCTGCGGGCAGAGCTTTGCACGGGGGAGATGCAGATTCCTTACAGTTTCATATGAAAATGTTCCTTAAAATATGCATCTTTAGCAGCAACACCAGCAAAATAATATCGTATTATTTGGTCCAATGAGTTCTTCAGCTTGATTTCCTTCAGGCGGATTTGAAAGTCATGTATCAAATGATACATCAGATACATTTCTGTTCTTTGAGGAAGGAAGCCCCGAGGAGCCACTATGTTTCATACACACATCATTGCTCATGGAACATTTCATGTGGTTGTTGCTGTGTTATCTTCACCATTTATCACCAAGCCAGACTGAAGGGTGATTAACTGTCTCCTGCCAGACAGATACCTGCACTTTCTTCAGCTTTCAGTAGATACAAATGTTGAATGAGAATGGTTTGTCGTCATCCTTCTAAAGTGTTACTGTTAGTAATGTCTTATACAGATCAACCAAAATGTCATCAGCTGCTTGGTTACAAACAGAATGAGAAATGCGTTTTCTTCATTTTCAAACTTTGAAGATGTAAGGAATAGGGATGAGCAGATCTAGGATTTTCTTAGTAGACTGTGGTAAAAAACACATTAAGTAAATTGGGGTGAATTTCCATTGTTGGGACAATTGTCAATATCCTTATGAGTCACTTAAAAAAGGTCTCTAGTTGGCTATTGTGGTAGAAAAGTGCAAATAAAGCTTGATTTAAATGTATTACAGGAATAATGTAAAAAAGAAACGCCTGCTTAAAAAAGATTTGTGGCATATCGGCAATAAGTGTAAGGTAAGTGAAAGTAATTTAAAGAGGCCCTATTATGCTTTTTGTGGTTTTCTTTTCCTGCAGTGTGTTGCATGCAAATGGTCTGCAAAGGCTGACATTGCAGGCACAACATACAGATATAATCATACAAATGAGCAACTCTTTAAAGATGTTTAACCATATCTTAATATGCTTTTATCACAATTATTTAGACATCAAATGCTCATAACATCGCATGCATTATTGTCTGTTTGAACAACTTCTGTAATAAGACATGGTTATTAGAAGGCTGTTATCGGGGTGGTCTCTTTAGCACGTCCATAACCCCATCACCTGCACGGCTGCTGCATCCTGGCCTCACACACCGCACTTATGTCAAAAGTACTTAGTGAAGCTGTCTCATTCAGTGTGTCTCATTTCCTCATCATGTCACCCTTGTCAAGGGAAAAAGCTATTTTACAAGCAATTTTCAGAGACTTAAAGTCCTCACTGTAAACTAATAAAATCCTCACAGGGTTAACATCTGCTTTAAGCTATATAAATCAAAGACTTTCTCTGGGCTTCATTTCTCAAAAGCAAAACTGACAGCGGATATTTAAAGTGTACATCATAGAACGTGACAACCTTTCAACCTTTTGTCTCCATTTGCCCGAGTCAAATATATAGGGGTTTAGGGGATCAGAGCTTAAAAAGAGAAATTCACCCATTTTTCTGTGGATGTCTAATCAGTGAAGCTGCCGGGCAACTATGTTTTTCCATGGTCCTGAACGCATCAACATAAATGTAAATAAAGTCTGTAGAAATAACAGGAAGCAAATAAAAAAAGAAGAATAAATGAATTCTGCAGCACATTGACGTGTTCTGGACACGGCTCAAAAACAGAACCTCCTTGTTCCCTTGGTTTATAATGCAAACTATGTATGTGCACAAAGGTGAAAATTGCATCCCATAATTATCATCTGTATTTATTCAAGCAAGATCATACAAAACAAATGCATGCGAGAAGGACTACACTTACCATCATCTCTGATGAGACATCCACATGACAGGTGGCACAATTTCCCTTCAAGATTTGATACTAATCTAATACTAGGTCCTGAAATCAACAAAGTGCCTTATAGCCGTTGAGCACTGCAGAACACATCTCTCCGAACCATATGATGATCCAAGCACATATCTGCATTAAGAAAGTCTATATGCTCTCCCCTGGGTTCCCAAAACTCCTAAAGATGAGATGCAATAACAGTAAGTGGCTCTGGGTTCAGCAGGAAGCAGAGATTTCTCGATAATACACTCCCTTTTGGATAGTTTGTTTATTACGTCAGCAGGTTGCATTTTATGACTTTATTGGCCTTAAACTTTATGTTTAAAATAACCCACACACTGTTTCTCCAAATGTTCCCAGTAGTTTCTTCAGCACTCAGCATGACCTGCCAGTCATTTGAGAAAAAGCTGGCTTGGGATCTCCACAGTGAGGCTCATTAGTGACAGCGTGCATGATAAATGTGTATATAATTATGTGGCATTTCTACAGGGATAGCTTATTTGTTTAAACTATGAATGTGTATATATATATAGCCTTCCTCAAATGACCACAGCCTCGTTAAACAATGTAAAGAGTCTGACAAATAGCGCATCAATCTTCTTTGTCATCAGTAAATATGTTTAATCACAATGTAGTCGCCTCTCAAGAGGCTGTGGCTGTTTTTGTTACAGAAAAACGTAGAACAAATAATAGAGCTGTTTTTTTTCGGCCAGTCGCCTGCCATGACTCCTCTTAAATAATGTCTATTTATCCATCACCTGTTGCTCGCTTTTCTGAGCCCAGCGGGGCTAGCATCCACCGCTAGAATATCAATAAAATACAAATTAGAGAAAAAGACATCTTGACATGGTTGAACTTTTACAGCCCTCCAAAGTCCACAACACTGCAGCATAATACTGAGTGCCGGTCCACCAAATGTGGCTATTCAAAAGGTTATATGCTGATGAGTGACTCCCTCTTATAAGGTCGGAGATAAGTTATTAATGGCGCAGTGAGTAAGGGTTTTAGCTTTCCATTGCACAATCTGACCAGAAGGTGTGTGTGTGATTGATGGGACTGACTCCGCTATGAATGAGTTTATAATTCTGCCACGCGCTCGGATCCGTACTCGTTTGTGGGAAAACACAAAAAAACCTCACCCAAACATTTTCGTAATGCCTTAAAAGGAAGGATGGTGGACGAACCAAGTGACTCAATCCCCTTGCGTTGCACACAACACTGTGATCTTATTATTCTGGGATTTATTGTGTTATTTGACTTTGTAGTGATTTCATTGGATCTCTGCTTGGATAAGATTGCGTACTCATCTGTATAGAAGAGATAAGACTGACTGATTGGTATCCATTACCCCCCTACCTGCATGGCGCCCGGTGCTGTTGATATACTGTGGTTGCCAATAGACGTCCATTAACAAGAAGAAGACTTGGTAATGATCCTGTTATTGCTGCTTGTGATTATCTTCAGCTGTTTTTTCTAGTAAATGCAAAAACAATCCTCCATTAGGAAAATATGTTGTTAGTAAAAATGGACAAAAGAGCGTCAATATAAACTTCACTTGGAGAATGATGTATATTTGAGGCATGATTATTTAATATGTGGATACATGAGCAAACTGCGATGGAAGCATTCTAATGTCTAGTTCCCATCGGAGGGAGCTGGACAATTGCCACAGTGTCCTGGTGTACAATAACTTGCAAGAGAGAAGCCTGTGGAACTGCAATCAGTGTTATATGGCAAGCTCAGAATACTTAACACTGGAGCTGGGAGGAAAAGATGATTGTGTTAGTCAGGGTTCTCATTGCCTTATGAATGTCTGCATAGATCGAGAGATTGATATTCAGTAAAGTTATGGTCTATCCACCGGAAGTACTACAGGGAGTTTTAAGTATGATCGTTTATG